TATTATATTATATTATATTATATTATATTATATTAGCAAAAGAAAAGCAAATGTTTTGGACAAAATTAAGTGTTAATTGAAGGCGTTTATTATTTGTAAAGATATAGGCCTACATTTTTTTTTTTTTGTGAAAAATAACGGAAGTTGTTGTTCTTGATCTGAAAGCAGCAAAACTACATGCCGAACGCTGTGAGTTTGTGTCAAGATAATGATACACAGATTTCTAAACAGTGTGATGTTGCTTGGCTACTTTCCTGCTGAAAATTAGCAACAACTTTTGAATCAAAATAAGAAATGTAAATTATTTTGCATAAATGTATTTATATGATGTGAGGTTTAGCTGACAGTGTGAAACTAAAACAGTATTGGATACTTTCTACACAGCAAATTCATCTGAGTTAAATTCTCGGTGTTGAAGCATTTCAGAGTAAAGTGTTGACGTTAAAGAGTTAGATTTTGATAAATGAATATAATAAGAGTTAGAATTGATTTTATTCAATGCGAAATCAAGGAGTTATCTTTTCAACACTTGGTGGTGTTATTTCCAACATCCGGGAATTCATGCAGCCCCAGTCACTGAAGAATTTTCCAGACGCCATTTTCCATCTGAGGTTTAGAACAGCAACGGGTGAGTCAAACTACCTAAATGTTGGTATTTTACTGACTTTCTTTAAGGAAATACAGTTGTAAACATATTGTTAAGTTAATAACTTTAGAATGGAGTGACAATTTTAATCTTCTGCAGTTCATTCATGGTCGTTTGTGTATCTAGCTTAACTGCATTACTATTCACTTCTTTTCAAGAATGTTTTTATATATGCTCACGCATACATAGTGCATAAAAACATCAAATGTCCATGTTCAACACATTTCTGTAACGCGTAATGCCATTGTGTGCGTTGTTACCCATCTGTAAAATAAAATCGACACTTCTCCTTTAATTCGAAGCAAACTAGCGAGGGAATCCCTGGAGCGCCTAGCCTAAGTTACTCTGCCCGGATGCTAACGGCAACACAGGACGGTTTCCATAAGCTCTGGAGAGTTTCTAAAACATACCTGGTGAGTAAATGAACATATGCTTACTTGTAAAAGGCTTCCTGACTAAAACATATGATTTTTTTGTTATTCGTGTACGTTAATTTGGTTGTTTTAAACACCGCGGCCCTTTTAAACTGGTTGATTCGTGGCAGTCCATATAACGTTACCGTTAGTCCATAGACTCGCGTGATAACGTACGCTTGAATTATATTAAGTGTTGACAACCATTAAAGTCGGAATGTTAACATTAATGTCTTTAAATGACCGCGTTTGCACTTTCTCAGACATTTAAGGTTACAGAAGTCTCCCGGAAGTTGCGGGACTAACGTTAACGTTATCCCGCAAATGCACAGAGACTCCCAGATGCCCAAGTAGATGCCCGCAAATGAATGATAATCTCCCGGAAACCGCGCGTCTCCTGCCCGGTCATTAAACACTTTGCACACCCCTCTCCACCGCATCCCTCCCAGCTCTTCAGGTACGTCGCGCGCAAGTCACCCCCACCGTTCTTAAGGTACGTCGCGCGCAACTCACCCACCGCTCTTCAGGTACTCATCTCTTCCGCTACCTCCCGCAAATCAACTCTGTATCCCCCGAAAATGACTTTTCCCAACTCGGGATGTCTGACGTTAGTAAGTTAGGCTATTTCTGTTGTCAGGAACATCTTAGTCAAGCTTTTTCTCTCGCATGATATTGTGCTTATAGGCTAAACTTAGCATGTACTGTACACAACATTTCCTTTTTATTAAAGACAATTTAGTGCGTTGTAAACAGCCACCTGTCTGTAAAATTAATCAACTGATTCATATTTGAGCAGCCTAATGATACAGGTTTGATTTGTAGTTTTATTATCAATAATCAACATCTGAATCAAAAGATATCTGAAAAAGTGTGAGGCATACTTTGTGATGTTCATCTCTCCTTTTTATCTGAAGGTTATGCATATGTGTTAGATACTAATTTTTTGTTGTTTTTTAACAGCCACAGTTCTCGATACAATAACACAAGACCCTGTGACGGTGGCTGATTAGAGATGGATGATGTATTTCCAGAGTTGGTGAAATGACCAAGCACACCTTCTTGGTCATATGTGGTGATAATAATGAAGGTATGTTTGATAAAGTTCTGTATTTGTTTCACAATAAGCTGAGAGGGTATTAGAGCATTAAAGAATAACGAATGACATGAAGGTGATAAGTTTTGTATTGTGGGTGAACTGTTACTTAAATAATGTTTTGCTCTTTGCTTTGCACCTTTTCTTCTTCTGCTATTTTTTACACTGTGGCCAATATTTTGGGGAAGTCAGCATCACTAAATGATATAAAAGATTTTAAGCTCCTCTAAATTTTGCTCCAAGTGTTGTGTTAAATTGAGGATTCTGGACAGACAGCTGCCTGTTTTTCCAGTTCTAGTCATAGTGGTTAACCTAATTGTTGTTGGAGATCCAACAGTGATGTATGTGTTTTTTCTACTTTTCCATATCCTGTCACCTCAACCAGCTGGGAGAGTCAAGTTGTGGATCATCATGAAGATTTTCAAAAGGTGAGTTTAGATTTCTTGAATGTTTTATTTACTTTAAATGTTCTTTTAAATATATCATAGAATTTGATTGCAATTTGTTTTCAAACATTTTTCTTAGTCATGCTGGAGTCTTGAAGAGTTCTTAGATGAGCATCACCCTATATCCGTGCATCAGGAACCACCAGACGAGCGATCAGCAGCTGCTACATCGTCATGGATAAAAAGGTCATCCTGTGGCTGGGAAGCACTTCATTCACAGGACATGCTTGATGAGATTTCCTAGCTCCAGTTTGTTTTCACACAAGTTTACAGCATTTATACCTTCATTTAAACTGCTGTGTTTGATATGGAGGACCAAGGAAACACCCGAAGTGAAAGATTTGCACGCCAAGTTGTTTAAAATGTAATTTCACAAGAAAACTATGAGTTCAGAAGTAAACTATGAGTGACGCTATATTGAACTTTCAAATTGCTCTGATAACACATCAAGTTTGGACCAAAGGACTGAAACAGCCTTTTTGAGCGCTGGTCATACATATTTTGTTGATACTGTCTGTACTAATAAAACATTTAAAGCATATTTGACATTGTTGCATTTTAAAAACTGAATAAATTGTTGAAGTGGTGAATGTTTTCAAATAAAATGTTTTTTCTTTTGTAATTTACAGTCTATTTTACCTTTTTACCATATTTACACATTTAAGAGAGTTGAATAAAATAACAATATATTACACCAGGCGGGGTTAAATATAGTTACATTTTTTAACTCTGCCCAGAGTTAAAAATAACCCTTACCTCGGTGTCAATGTGCCAACCCTTTTGAAAGTGTTGATTTAACTCTGTTTTGAGTGGACCCCATGAGACACTTTCAAAGTGTTGAAATTAACACCCATAGAGTTGTTTTGGGTCCCCATATTTTGCTGTGTACTTAAGTACATTTTTGAGGTTGTACTTCTATACTTCTGTTTTTGACTACAAAAGTGTGGTCAGTACTTCAACCTTCACCCGGGTCGTTTTAAACATAAGTATCTGTACTTCTACTTGAGTAAATGATGTGTGTACTTTTGTCATCAGTGAATACTAACTTCATGCAATTGTAACTTCATCTTTTTTGTTTAGGTTAAACTGCAGTTACATTTGAAGTAATGTCAAATTTATTTGATTGAACTTTAAAAAATTAAGGCAGCAACAAATTTATTACAGTAAGGTAATGAATACTAACAAATGTAAAAAAGAAAAAAAGAAATAGTCAATTATAAATAATAATGTGTAAATTTTGTGGTATCTTGGCTGGTTTAGGCCTGTCATGGATTAAAAAAGGCATGTCAATAAAACCACTGGCAGTAGGTGACCACAAGTCTATGTCATATGAGTGGTTCACTGAATCAATTATTCAAAAATTCATTAAAAATGGCTGATTTATTAAGCAACAGTACAAGGACTGTCTTTATGGATGGAATCACTCAGATGGGTTTATTTGGCATAAACATTGCTTAGGAGCCATTTAATTGCAAAAACAGACAAATTAGCCATTTAATTGCAAAAAAAAAAACTTAAAACGACACAAATATATTCCCATAAAATGACTCCATGTGATGTGTATAGTACAGTACCATGTATCATTTATGCAGTGTCTTGTGCTACAGTATATGATAGGGTTTGGTGAACAAAATAAACCTGAAATTTAAAGAAACTGCATTCATGAAACTCTATTAGCATCACAGTTCACTCTAATAAATAGAGGAAAAGCATACTGTACAAGTGAAAAATAAAGATGAACAGAAATGCATCACAAAATACAACCTTTGTGATAAATAAAACTGCTGTTTGTGTTGCAACATAAGGTTATTGCGTTCATCCATGAACTAATAACAATATCACGGTAACCATGGAATTACAGCTGTGGTTATATAAATGGTAATCAATATATAAAAAAAAAAACGCACTATGCTTCTGCTATAAAACCATATTCATAGAGGTTGCCATATTCACTAAATCAACGCTTATAATTAGTCTTCAGATTTAAGCAATCAAGTCCATAGAAGGCAATCTTTGGTTTGATATTTTGGTAATTTGGCTTATTTTCACAATAAGTGTTTGGATTTCGATTTAATATAGCCTTGTACTTGCTGTTATTTTCCAACCAGATCTGGCAACTAAGATGCTCTAAGCCTCTGAAGGTTGAACTGACAACCAAATTTAGGTGCAATGTATACATGGCCTGCACAAATATGGTTCCAGTTTTATCGAAGAAGGGTAAATATACAGTTGACGTAAGAATTATTAAACTTTGTTAAACATCAATTGGGAAATATTTGTAAAAGAAAAAAATTCAAAGCAGCTGTAATAATTTTGCCTTCAACTTTATAGTGTGTTTTCTTTTTTAAATGTACTATCCCTTTAACATAGTGAAGGTAATTAAGGAATACAAAACGTTTTACCTGTGACAGGTGCCTCTATGTCCAGCATGGTCTTCTCCTGGCGTAGGATAGAAGCCCCTTCATTGATGATTCGCAGGGCCACGGTCTCCTCCACTCTGCCCTCTTTAGTGAGGTGGGCTTTCAGGAGATCCACTCTCGGCTTCCCCTCACAGTCAAACACCTCCTTCATGGTGAGGCGGTGGCTCAGGGGGAAGGGAACGGCTGAGAGGAGCAAGAACGCAAACAATAGATCAGAACTTGTGTGTCATAGTCAGCTTTGATGAAACTAAATTATGTTGCATACAGTTATGCCTTTTAAAACATAAAACCTTGAATTGTACTACAGTGTTAAATTGGTTAATACAATGTTAAATTGGCATCTCTTCACCAGGGAAACAATTCTGTAACTATATCCTTTAGAAATTTAGAAGTTTTGTTTCTGAATTTGGGTAAGAAATTTTCCCAGAATACACCAGCCACAACGGCAGTGTAGCGGCACCCAGAAGTAGAAGGAGATCCACAAATTAGTATTTTTGTAATTATTACGAATTTTACAACAAACAAGCACAAGTTTTAATACATTCATAACTGTGTAGGTGTTTTCCCGTCATGCTTTTAAAAAATCCGCTAAAATAAAACCGCTAAATTCTGCTATTTATAGTCCCTAATAATAACTATTGTACAGCAGTCCCACAACATTCTGTCACTCGTGACACTTGGGTACCCTGTCAGAAAAGTCTAGTGGCTGGGAATGAGCTTTTTACAGTGTCTGCTATAATGTAATGTTGTTTTCTTGTTTTCTGTTACATAGATGAATACTGCCATGGTGTAAGTACCCAGTACAGTTACGAGCTTATTGCCACATTATATCCTTATGATAGCATGATATATACCTTCAGTGATCTCACTGAAGATAAATACCCACAAATAACGCAACTGGAAAAACTACAGCAGTCAAGATTGTCGATCTCATATGAAGCAAGAGATCGATGACATTTGTGTAATCAATGACATGTGCAGGTGCTGTAGTGGTGTCCCATTTTGTTAGAGGTAAATTTTAAAGCCCTTCCCCTTCACACTCTACTTCAAGGCCGAGGAAAGGGGGAAGGTGTACAAAAATAGAATTGAGATTGATCCTAGGTAAAGACAACTTGTAGATTTTCTACCGTAAAAATAAAAAAAAAACTTGACTACTACTTGACTACTAATTGTGATTAGTAATAAGCATCAAGGACCTAATTTGCACAAATTTAAAGGCAACTTACCTCAATATTAATATTTTTTTTAAACCCTTAGAGTCCATATTTTCAAATAGTTTTACCTAACCCAAATATTGTCTAAATATGTCCATACATCAAATGAAACCTAATTTATTCAAATTTCAGATGATGTATAAATCTCAATTTCCAAAAATGTACCCTCATGACAAAGGTTTCATGGTCCATGGTCACATATGGGTGAAATTATATTTCATTGTTATTCATATTTAAGTAAAATTGAAACGACAATAGAATTTTTTTAGAAGCTTTGTATTTATTTTAGTACAAGTTTATCTAAAGAAAAATTAAAAATTCAGAAACTACTTAAAAAAAAAACATGTTTGTGTAATTTAATGCATCATTTAATTTGATTAAACCCTAGTCCTCAGTGTCACATCCTTCAGAAATCATTAAGCATACTGATTTGTAGCTCAAGTAACACTTCTCATTATTACCAATGTTGAAAACAGTTGGGCTTCTTGCAATTATTTTGGTGAAAACCGCGAAAACCGTGACACATTTTTCCAAGATACTTTGATAATTACAAAGTAAAAAAAAAAGAGCAAATTGTTTGAAACCAAAATCTTTTGTAACATTATAAAAACCTCTTACTCTGATCAATGTGATGCGCCCTTGTTAAAAAATAATCAAAAGATTTGTATCTTAGAGAAACATTTCTAACAGTTGGACAGAATGCAGCGTTAGCATGCTAGTTGACCTCACTTATTAATTAGACAATAGTAAGGCCACTGTGTCCCGTTCTTAAAACACAGACGCACTCATCATAACCCTGTTTCTCTTTAATGATCATCGTTTGTTCATCATGCTCACTCACAGCAATGCAAAACTGGCCTTTTATAAGCAAAACAAATGAGTTAGATAACTGACAAGTCACAATAACAGCTGCTTATGAAAGCTTCCAAAGAGCTGCATGTGAATAATTGATAAAGGTGTGGCGAACTGCTTGCCGATCCTCGGTTGCGTGAAAAATTCAATTTAGAAATTAGATGTAGAAAAAAATAGCTCTTTCCAAAATTGGGGCAAATACAGTTTCTCTCTATTATGACTCACTAAATGTGTACACTGGTAATGTGGGACTTGGCTTCGACAAAACATTGGCATGGTGAATTATTTACGTGCGTGTGCTAGCGAAGATTCGCCCTGCGCCGTACAGAAATAATTACGGAGTGCAGTTACAGTGCCATTGAGAAGAAAAGCTAAACACGGATGACACAGTCAGTCAGAGCAGGATTAGATATCTGAGATATGGGCAATTCTGTGAGCAAAACATGCATTTTGTATTGCTGATACAACACACGCACAGCTCACGGATAGAGAGAGAGAAATACAGTAGGGGAACAGGGGAGGGAAGCTCAGGGCAGAGACTCAACGTGATCAACACAAAGCTAAATAATTCATGTTTGACTTGAGGGGGAAAAAAGAGAAATCTCATGTTCCTGCTGCTGGGATAATGAGACTAGGCCCAGCATAGGATTTTAGCAGGGGTAAGGAAACAACCCATTCAGAGAGAGGGGGAGAGATTGTGTTGCTTTGCTTATATGTACACGCTTGATTTCCTAAGTGTTCTATATTTAAAGAGGTCATGAACTGTGATATCAAAATGTGCTTAATCTTTTTGCATTTAAGAGGTCATTGCACAATTAAAACATCCTGCAAGTTTTAAAACTTAAAACTGTTTTGTTAGTCCAAAACAGCTTTATTTAAAGTCAATCTAACAAAATGACCCGTTGAGGAATGTGCCCATTTATTATGTAATAATGTGGCTAAACTCCACCTTTAGTTAAGAAAATAAATAGTACTCTGAAGTGGTGATCAGTGAGTATTACGCTGTGAAATTATTAAACTGTAAAAAAATGCTGCCTTAATTTTTTTTTGTAAAAAATATAATGACAAAAAGTCAAGTACGCTTTACACTTGTCCAACTGCTCATTAACGCAAATTTTTTATCGGCCAATCACATGGCAGCAACTCAATGTATTTAGGCATGTAGACAAGATCAAGATAATCTCATGCAGTTCAAACTGAGCATTAAAATGGGGAAGAAATGTGATTTAGGTGACTTTAAAAGTGGTATGGTTGTTGGTGCAAGACGAGCTGGTCTGAGTATTTCAGAAAGTGCTGATCTACTGGGATTTTCACACACAACCATTTCTAGGTTTTACAGAGAATAGTCCAAAAATGAGAAAATATCCAGTGAGCGGCACAAATGTCTTGTTGATGCCAGAGGTCAGAGGAGAACGGCTTACAATCGACATATGCAGAAGAGCATCTCTGAACCCACAACACAACCAACCTTGAAGCGGATGGTCTACAGCAGCAAAAGACTACAATTTGCACAGGCTCACCAAAATTGAACAATAGAAGATTGTAAAAACATTGCCTGGTCTGATGAGTCTCCATTTCTGCTGTGACATATGTATGGTAGAGTCATGATTTAGCTTCAACAACATAAAAAGCATAGATCCATCCTGCCTTGAATTAACGGTTCAGGCTGGTGGTGGAGTGTAACTTTTCCTTTCAGGGTGTTTCTAAGTGTGATTCTAAGTGTGACTATACATTTAAAATGCGAGAACACATTACATTAATATATGAACCTATAATAAGTCGACAGAAATCCTGATAATGCATTACATGAAGAGCAAAATCTGTTAAACCTAGGGCTAAAGTTAAGTACTTTGAACATAAAAGTTAGTTGATGCTGGCAGTTAATGAGTCAATGGCACAAATCAACCTCATTTAGCACTGTCAGAATACATACAAACTGTGCGTGTATTTGAAAACGTAACATTCTGTAGTGCATTTAGTTCTTGTTTAGGGCAATTTGGTGATTTTAGTCATCATACATTAGAAATCCTTTATCTTTTCATCAGTGATATGCAGTCTAAATCCAGCAATTTTGTGTTTAATAGACGTCTAATAGACATCTAAATGTAAACAGCTTGGCTAAAACAAGGCTAAATTTGGGCTGTTGGTGAAAATCTAACAAACATCTAAGAATGGCCAAAACTATATTAGTCATCAAATAGACAGATTAGACAGACTATATGTTCAGTCATTTATTTTTGTTTATTTGATGCCGAAACTAGTTTTAGCCTATTCTAAGATGTCTATTAGATTTTCACTGACAGCCCAAATTTAGCCTTGTTTAAGTCAAGATGATTAGATGTTTATTAGACATCTATTAAACATCTTTAAAAAAAAAAAAAAAAAAAAATGCTTGTTGGGAACAGTCTCTAAGGTGTTGCATGTAAATATTTTCGAGTCTTGAGGTCAGTCTGTCTAATGCTATTTTTTTTATTTGCCATTTGATTAGATGGGAAACATGGGACCGATTATTCTAATTTGCCAATCAGCGTAGACAAAAAAAAAAAAAAAAAAAAACTTAAAGTAGTGCCTGCAATAAAAGCAGGCTAAGAATACAGAACTAAGAATCTACTCAAGTAAAAGCACACAATTTTTAAACTACTTAATCAACAATTCCTAAGGAAAAGCTACTCAGTTAACTCAGTACTTTTGATTTGTTACTTTACACCACTGGTTATTACAGGCTGTTTGATATATGTTTGAGCATTTTAAAACTAAATAAATCACAGGAGTCCAGCTAATGTTAGAAGGATGTAGACCAGGAGACCAAATTATACAAAAGCATTATCCAATTATGACAGTAGCTATTTACTTCTGTATACACAATCTACCACACCCATTCAAACAGTTAGTTTAAAAATAGTCATTTATTGTAAAAACTAAAGTGTTTTTTAAACTATAATACAGTAATTCAGTCATTTGTTGCTGTGATTATACAATAACTATTGTATATTAAACCAATTTTTTACAACTACAGTATATTGCAACCACAGTTAACTTAATAAAGACTAAAGTTTTCTACAGTAGTTATTATAGTAGTTAATACAACTGTAAGCTTAGCATTCATTACCAAAGTTT